GCAGCCAGGATCAGACTCATGCAGAGGCAAAACAGAAAAAAGGTATCTACAGAGGTGAGGCCTTGGCCACACCCCAACCACAATGACAGCACAGAGTCACAGCCTGGGGGCCCCCAGACCAGGGCCCAGGCTGGACAGGCCACCAGTATCAGGGCCCTGGCCCACTGAGCACCATGCTGACCTGCAGAGTCAGAGGTGGCCAGGTGTGGGAAAAGCCCAAACCCTACAGCTGGCCTGCACAAAGTGTGTGATGCCGAATCTTGCCCCTTTGGAGGTGAAATCCAGGCTCCAGTGTGGGGAGCCATTTCCAGGGCACTGCCTCAAAACTATGAAAGCAGAAGAGCGCCGTGTCTACCCCTCACCTGGGAGCCCATATGGTGGGCAGGCAGGGCACGGCTGGGGGACAAGTGTTGGCCTCTCTGGCCATCTGCTAACTGACACCTTCAACTGCCACCCCAGGCCCTGACCCGCCTCCTCTGACACATTCAAGCAGAGCTTCCCTGCTCCCGGAGACACCTTGCAACAGACCCACTACCTTCTGTTTCTTGGACTTCAATCTAGAGCCCAGGGGACCTACCCATCCCAGCCTGGCACCAAAACAAAGGACCAAACTCTGAACAATGCTGAACCATGTGAAATGGATGATAGGAGCCCATGAGGGCTGACAGCCAATCCAGCAGCTTGACACAGACCTGGACTCGGCGCCATTTGGTCAGCCGAGTTAGTGTTAGATGCAGCCTAAGACCTGGAGGCCAGTTCTCCGTCAGAACAGACAGGCAGTAAAGACGGGGGACTGTGTGATGGCTGGGAGCTGCCCTCAAACTGACCCTAGCCACAGCTCCTTCTCCCACAGAGACCAGCTAAGCTTCACAAAGAGGTGACTTGTCTGCTAAAACAGAGGCTACCACAGGGCTGGCAGACTCCCCTAGAACTTCCCAGGGGAGCAAGGCACTGAGCAGCCGGGGTCACATGGCCCCACCTGGCCTTGCTCCTGCTGGGTCTCTCTCCCTCTCTGGGCCATAATACCACCTGAAAACGTCTGCACCCACCCACCACTCGGTGATGTCCTGGCTTCCTCTCTGGGTGTGTCTCTGAGTCCGTGCACCAGGTCTCCCCTCCTTGTTGGTGTCTGAGTCGACCTGCACCCACCTGGTTGCTGTTCTGTCCTTGCTCTGTCTGGCACATAAAGTAGTGTGGCCACCCCTGGTCTCTCACTCTGCACCTCTCCACCGAGTTCACGAGCAGCAAGAACATGCAAGCTAGTGTCAGGCC